CGTGATGCACAGCCAGCCACACGCCTAACTATAGCCAAAAGCGTTGCTTGTCTGCGCTCTCTCCCTTCTGGTTGTTCTCCGCTGCTAGCACGTGTTTCGCTACGGGGTCTTGAAATAGACGCAAGTGCTGCAGCTTGAAGATAGCGCGAGTGAGGCAGGATGCTGCATCCGAACATCATTGCCCTACAGTCCCTGTTTCCAGCACTTTGAATGCAGAAAATCGCACGCTATTCCAATTGTGGACTCATTCACCTCGCGCATGGCAACGACTAAGATCGGTTACGTGACAACTAAAACTTTGGTGGAGGTCCTAGCGCGAAAGGCCAGAGCGCGGAGAAAGAGGGGATTGCGGGCGCTAAAGAATAGAAAAGTACAGAAGATATGTTGCAATCCAGGGTACAAACTCTTTCAGAGCAGGGGGCTCCAGTGTAGATGAGCCACTTATTACGTGTGAAAAACTGGAATATGTAGGGTCACAGTGGTCACGAAATGCATGCAGACGTGAGAGCGCAGAGAAAAAGAGAAAGTTGGCGGGATTAAAGGGATTAAGTTAGAGTTGTCCGTAGACCTAAGATCCCGGGAGGTGAGTGTCCACTATGTCTTGGAAAACATAGGTTGGGATCAGAAATATGAGAAACTTTGAAAAATCAGTTATCTGTACTTGATGACTCGACAGTTACTCTATCTTGAAAACATCACTTTGCAGTGCACATTCGAATGAAAATATCGCTTTCTCAGCCCAATTTCATTTAAGATCTTTTAAGGAAACACAAAACGCACCTGCTGAGAAGCGCCATACATCATTCAACATTTTCCCATTAAATCCACCGATGATGTACAGATCATAATTGGTTGCAACGGCTGTATGGCCATAACGTCGTAGTTGACCTTCACCAGATGAAATATTGAACCACTGCTTACAAGCTGAAATTTCTTGATGAAAGTACTGAAATTGGTCCAAAAGGTAAATCCGGAGTTCCATGCATCCAGGTTAGTAATTGTTAATTCATAGCGAAAGAGCTCAGAATATTAAGCATCAGAGACCAAAAAATGGCAAACGGAATAGCACGGGTCGGCATGGACCTATTAAGCGCTTGGGGCCTAAAATTCAAGGCATGCTCCTCGTTTAACATGATGTAATGGGTGGCTTAATGACAAAATGGCGAGTAACAATAAAAAAACAAGGAATAG